CAGCATGGGGCCAGCAGTGGGGAGGGAAGCCCAGGCTTTGGGAACACCCACAGCTGAGAGAGGAGCCTTGTCCTCCCCTGATCTGGCAAGCTCTGTGGTTCTGGATCACTCATATCCTGAGGGTTCCTGACCAGGGAGGCCCAGCCTGTGTGTGCAGTTTGCTAGAAAACCAGCTGTGGGTCAGAAAATATTCAAGCACAAGATCACAACACTCTTTAGGAAAACATTAATGTGCAAGCTTTACTAAACAGAGTATTTTTAGGCAAAGACACTTACATTACCGGCAATTTCTGTAGTCTCCCTTTCTGTTACTACATTTGTGTTTGAATAGGTTTTCCTACAGCCAGCCAGCCCCTTTGCTGAATCCTGCAGAGAAGCCATAATCCTGTACACTGGTTTTATGCTTATAGCATCACTTATTTAGAGTTATGACTTCACTGCAGGAACAGGAAAGCACAGATTAGCAGTAAAGGAATAAAGTAATAATTAGCAGAAATAGCATGGGATAATTGGAAATAGAAAGGTACATGGAATGATGAAATACACAGAAAATATTCCAAATTAATCCAAGAATCTTTAATGTTAGAAGGTACTTTGCAGATGAAAAGTACAATATATGTGCCTATTACTGTTATAGAAAGACGAGTAGTTAATATGGGTTTGCAAAGGTATAAAATAATCCTATTTATTTTAACATGAGGAAGCAATTAGGTTGCAGGCAAATACCATAAATGCTGTTACAAATTATGTACTTGTAGGTTGCCTTTTTCCTTTGGGAAACCCGTAGAAAAAATCTATAGGGTTATCAGCCAAATCTGGAACTAAAATATCATTAAAACCTCCAATTCAAGGATTGCTGGAAGAGATTTATAGTTATTCAGCTGATTTTGATACTGCAGCTAAAAACAATTTTAGCAGTTAAAAAGGAGGGCTCTTGTACTGTGCTTGTCATGTTAAATATACAATTTACCACATTTCTGCTCCTGGTGGGATTATAACTTTTTTTTGTTACTGAGAAGGACCAACCAGAGAGGGGAAAACGTGAAAGGTATTTTCAGTCCAAGTAGAAAATAGAGCATGATAAATTGGCCAAAGGGATGTTTTATATTCTGCCTCTGTTATTTGCTTCAAGTATATTATCTTCCCTAATTTTTTAATTTTTATTAAACTTAATTTTTCATGTTTTATTAAACTTATTTTATAATAATTTTGTATCCCTATCCAAAATCTAAAGCACAAATTAACTCTAATTTTTCTATATAAAAATTCAAAATGTTTACAGGTCTTCTGTTGCAATAGCTGCCTACTTTGAAAATGTTTAAGTTCATAACATCCATTAGAATTTCTTGGTAAATATTTACATCTGTGAGTCAAGTGCATGACAGCTTATAAACAATCATTTGAAGGAGACAAATAAATTAAATCTGCAGTAAATAACAAGCACGAAACAGGTCCCTGAAGTGTTTAACCTTCTGCATTTGCAATGCATATGAGTTTCAACAGCCCTTCCGGTTTTGTAGACAGGCACACAGTTTAGTTTCCATAGTAATTATTTTCTAACCCCCGAATATGACTTTAATGGAGCCCCTTCTAGTCTGTAGATTACAGGTGCAAGCATACACTGTACTATCCCTTCAAAAGAATCTCTGTTCTTGATCTCTTGGGATGTACCATGTAATCTGAATATAGCAATGATTATGAAACATGCTTTCATTCCTAATCAATAGGCTAGGGCAAGCCCATTAGTCTAGTACAGTGTTTCTTAAACTTTTTAAGACCAAGGAACGAACACCAAACAATTTTTTTTTATGGGGGAACACCAAGGATTTTTTTATTGAGGAAAAAAGGAGGCTTGCCCCTTTAACGGCAGCCATTCCCAAGGGAAAAGTTCATGACCAAAAGAAAAGCCCCCAGGGAAAAGCTGCTGAGCAGAAAGAAAAAAAAATTGAGGAAAAGAAGTTGTTAAGCAAAAAACCCCAAACAGTTTGCCCTTTTATCAGGAGAGCAGGCATTGCCCTTTTAAGGGAGGCCATTTTGAACTCTTCTCAGGCATTGCCCTTTTAAGGGCGGCCATTCTGAACTCTGTTCTCCATGGTACACCGGTGTGCTGCGGAACACACTTTAAGAAACGCTGGGCTAGTATCAAAGTCAGCTTCCGAAGGGAGGAGCAATTGACTCTCTATAGCCTAATTAAGAGAAGTGCTGCTGGACTATGGAGAGATCCTTCTCTCCCAGCTGGAAAATGGGATCAAAG